ACAGTAAATTGATCATTACAGAGAGACGAAATCATATTTTCAAATGAAACAAAGTGGGTGACTTCCACCTAGTGATGCTCTATTGAATGATTGAATTAGTTGTTATCATTTGTTTAACACTTTCAAGAAAAAGGTACAAAACAAAATGTAGTTGCAATCACCGTCATTTAAGAGCAAAAAAATCAGTGTAAGTAATGATGAATGCACTACAGAAGTTGTCTGGGGGATAGAGACATGTTTCCTCTACTTTATTTCATATAAATCATGACAAACAATGACACTACTGATTAATGACAGCCTTTGACAGGTCACAAACAAGACACTTTCTTGCTAAAAGTCGGCAGCCGTTGCTAAGAAAAGGGGTAACCCGCATCCGTTGCCTAGCAATGTACAAAGTCAATGTAGCAACACGGAAGTTTCCAATCCCTTTCATTTACTCTATTATCTATGGTAGCACTGGCGGCGCCTTTGATCTGCCCACACACCATACTACAAATGGTTTTATTATTAATTTAAAAGTACAATGTAGCAGGGCAATAAGAATTGCCCATTCAAAAATTTTTATCTACAAAATATTGTGGACAGGAACTTAAATAAACAATCTCAGGCAGAGCTCCTTATAAATGCATATAACATGACAAGGCTATCACGGGTTGTCCTAATTTAAGCTAATGAGATTCATTATTTGCACATTATCACCTGTATGGTTTCACTAAGTGCTGGGAATTGATATTCAAATTTTGATATTTTCTGAGACTCCAGGCAAACTTCACCAACTGTTACACAATACTTGCTGTATACCTGTAAACAACAACAAAAACAATAACAACAAGCGTAACAGTGTAAAAAAAGTCCTATAATTGATTTCACCACCTTGCAAGTACAACTTGGTCATTATTAAGACTTATAGAGGTTCTCTCTACCTTCTAATGCTTCTAGAGAAGTCTTTGGATAGTATCTCTATGTTCTCTTGCTGTTAGAAAGCTCTTAACTTTGTCCCATGTGTAAGCCGCCATTTTGTTTGCCGTGGCCACACCCACTCCCGTAAAGGAGCGTGGGCGGGTGGTTGCTAAGGCTTGTTATTCTCCAATACAACATGTATAGAAGAAATGTAAGTGTGGACATACAAATATTTCTACCATGCCTACTTGCAATTGACCAATCAGATTGCG